AGCTCTTGGTATTCTGTGAAAACATACAAGCAACTGTATGGGCACTGCATACATCCAGTGCCTGATATGAGTCAGTGGCCAAGCATGGATGCTTTCCTTCACATTGACCCTCCAAAAATGAAAAAAGGTATTGGTAGGCCAAGTAGGAACAGAAAAAGGGAAGAAGGGGAGGATCAGCTTGGAAAAAGATCAAGGACAGTCAAGTGTGGAAGCTGTGGTTCTTTTGGACATAATGCTAGGACCTGTAAGGGAGGTTTAACTAGTAAAGAGGCAGCACAACAGACTGCATTAGTACTTGATGCTTCACAGCTGCAGAGTCAGCCCCCTCTTAGCCAATCACAATCCCAAAATTAGAGAGCTTTGCATGTTCTTGCCAACAGTTGCTTAGATTTTAGTGTATTGAAACTTTGTGGTTTATGTCTCTACTAGCTTTTGGTACTCTAACATTTTGAATTATGCATTGTGCAATTATTTTGGTACTCTTAACATTTTGAATTATGCAATGAATGGTCAATATTTGTGTATTGAAAATGCATTTTCAATTTTCAACAATTGTTCTACTTAATTGAAAGAAGTTCAGCAGCTATATTTCCAAAAAAAATAACATACTTAGCTTTATTCATATCAAATAGCATATTACAGCAACATTACATTACTTCAAAGCTACTAACAATAAAACGAAATACATAACAACACCAATTTTAACCACCAAATGAACAAAGTCAGCAAATTCATCTGTTTTGTGCATAAACTCATTGAATTCTCTCCTCAAAATTTGAACACTTGTAGCTTCAGGTGTATTACCCACCCTACCTACTGTGTCACACACCATCTGCTCCTCCTTAACCCACATGAAAAATTCGCAGAACCTGCACTTGTAGTACGGCCTCCCTGGGTTTGAAACAGAGCTTGAGAATCGTATATCAGCAGCTCTTGTAGGGTCATAGTTGCAATTAACTGATTTAAACCACAAACTAGTTCCATTCTTGTTGCTTGAAGAACTCATGCCAGAAAAAGACATTGAGAAGCAAAAATTAAAAAAGAGAAAAGAGAAATTTGAGAACAATGTAAACAATATGTTGCAAATAAGGGGGTGGGTTCGTTTAAATATAAAGAGGGAAATCAAAGAGGGGGAAAAAGGAGGGAAATCAAAGAGGGAAAAAAAAGGAGGGAGCTTTTAAAGTTAAAAAATCATAATTAAACTGAAAATTAACGTTTTCTTAACGATTGTCTAACGGTAGGTGGACTTCTGATAATAGTATAAAACCACGCATGTACCGCTGATAAACAATAGTTTAGCATGTGTACTATTGATAAAGGCCCAAACCTTGGGTGTACTATTGATAATTTCCCTTTTTTTTTTTTAGAAACACTAAACCTATAAGTATGATATTAAACGTGTTAAATACAAAGTATATGAACGGTGGCTATGTTACATAAATCCATTTGGTTTAATTTTTTGGATTATGCTTATATGTAGTCCTATGGGCTATATATAGCATTTTCCTTTTTTTATTTTTTATTTTTTATTTTTTATTTTTTTCATTATACCCTTGGTACATTTTTTTTGTAAGAAGCATGAACCTCCTTTGATAGACCATGATTTTTCACAAATTATTAGCCAACCCAAGATCATGTTCTTGGAGATACAGGGGAGGGGAATTTTTTTTTTTTTAATTGGTAAGGAAGATTATGACCAGTCCTCAACTCTCACGGTTATTTTAGTTCAGTATTTGCGCGTCAGGGAGTAGAGGGGAGGGGCTGGAAATCCTTACCCCCAGGTACCCTCACTTGGTAGGATTTGAACTCCATACTTCTAGCATATGAGGTAAATGTCTTACCAAGTGAGCCAACACTTTAGGGTTGAGATCCCCAATAAAAAATTAACCTTACTTAATAGGAATTTAGCGGTATAAGGCAATTAAAAAAGTGAAACGTGATTGATTATGCAACTACACCAAACACTACTTAATTAGTACTGTAGTTAGTTTGGGGCATTATTTTCCCTTTGTAATAAAAAGTGATTGATTACAATCATTTTGTGTTTCTTGTAATCAATCACTTTTTAGTACTTTGCTATTTTAAACATATTGGTTTATTAGCATTCATACATTCTTTCTTGTAATCAATCCAAACCTAGTACTCCGTACTTCACTAATTTTATGTCAATGCCCAAATTATATTCAGGCCCGTTTATGCAGTTTTGGTGACCTAGGGCAAAAACATAAATTAGGGCCCTAATTTACATATAGAATATAATATTAAAAAAAATTAGGTATGTAAAAAGAAAAACACATATTTTATTATGACTTATTTTTTGATAGGATATTTATTATGATTAATAATCTTTAAAAACATCAAATTTTACAAAAAAACAAATCACATTCCTATAACTCTCGTTGAAGCAATTAGATAAATCCCGTTGAAAATTGAAGGGCAAAAGAATCGTTTATCATAATTTTCATCTTAATTGAATCGTAAAAGAGATAATTAATCTAACCGAAAATCGAAAAGAGATAAATTTTGAAAAATAAAATTACCGAAAGAAGTGGATATAATATTATAATGGAATTACTTGTCAAAAGAAAAAAAATTACTGTATTATAATTGAATTAATGACGGTTTATTTTTATTTTTATTGAGGGGTTAATAAAATTCACTTAGGAAAGTGAATAATTTTGGGCCCAAAGTTAGGGAGGAAGCACGTTGACCGATAATACTGTTTGACATTATAGAATTAGCCAATTAGATAGTACTCGTACTATTATAGTGTTGTAGAGTACACACTTTTTTTTTTCTTTTTTTAATATACATATATATTTTGGGGCCTTGTATTATATTGAATATGGGCTTTTTAATCAGGGGCCCAGGGCAGTCGCCCCATTTGCCCTACCCTTGCTACGGGCCTGATTATATTGCTTAGCAAGTTATGAAAGTTGTACCCTCTATCCTCCCATATAATTCTTGTGTTAGTATAGTTAACAAAGCTAAACTCTCTTCTTATTTTACTTGTAATCTCAAGTAGGTTAAAAAGCTAGTCTCCCTATTCCACTTTGTCGATTAAAATATTTTTAGATAACAAAATTATTGTCTCTTTGAGTAATCACGCACTAAATTATTGTAGCTAGAATTTTTTATTATTTTTTTCCAATTCCTTTAATTCAAACAGTCTAATGGGCCTCTTTTTCGAGACTTTTCATAGTAAGACAAAAGCTTCCCATCAACCTTGATATTTCACTCGGCGTCTTGGATAAGTCTCAACTCTAACTACTAACCATAGCCTCAAAATCAGCAAATCCTTTTTCACGTGTACTATTCATTCTAAAATAAACAAGCCTAATTTAAACATTATTGAACTTGAAAAAATTTCACAGGAAAAACAACAATGGAAGACAACAAAAAGCTCAACATAGTTATGTTTCCATGGCTAGCATTTGGTCACATTATACCTTTCCTAGACCTTTCCAAACACTTAGCTACTAAGGGGCACCACATTTTCTTTGTTTCAACCCCTCGAAACCTCGAACGCCTTCCAAAAATCCCTGAAAGGTTATCCCCTTTGATCACTCTAGTCCCTCTTCCGTTGCCTCGAGTTGAAAACCTACCACCCGGTGCTGAGGCAACTTCCGACGTTGGCTTTGAAATTGGAACTGATCTCCTTAAGACGGCCTTTGATGGTTTACAACAACCCATGACCGAGTTTTTACAATCTTTGTATTCTTTGGATTGGATCATTTACGACTTCTGTTGCTACTGGATACCTCCGATTGCTGATAAACTCGGTATTTGTAAGGTGTACTTCAACATAACTTCAGCAAGGACACTTTCAGCTTTTCCTACAAAGTTGATGGAAGCCGGTTCGGGTACTTGGACCGACCCCTGTCGTCCTCCCCCTTGGATTCCGTTTCCTAACAGCTCTGTCTATTTTCTTCCACACGAGTCAAGAAACATCATACATACTGCAAGAAACATAACATCTTCTGGTGTTTCTGATGGCTTTCGAGTTAAGTGTTGTGTTGATGGCTGCGATTTGATTGTTATTCGCAGCTGCAGAGAGCCTGGAGGCTGAATATTTTCAGCTTGCTGAAGTTCTTAATGAGAAAACTGTGCTCCCCTTGGGGTTGTGACCGCCGTCTTTGGAAGATCAGGGTCTAGGAGATGACAATGATACATGCAAGTTAATCAATAGCTGGTTGAACAAACAAAGAAAAGGATCAGTTGTTTATGTAGCCTTTGGGAGTGAGTTTGAGCCGAATCAAGACCAACTCATGGAGCTGGCTCTCGGGTTAGAGCAATCCGGATTGCCATTCTTCTGGGCGTTTAGGAGATCAGAAGTTTCAATACTGAAGCTGCCTGAGGGGTTTGAGGAACGAACACGAGGCCAATGAATGGTTTGGACTAGTTGGGCACCTCAACTTAGGATACTCAGTCACGAGTCTGTAGGAGGGTTCTTAACGCATTGTGGGTGGAGCTCAGTCATAGAAGCACTTCAATTCGGAAAGCCACTAATAATGCTACCATTAGCTATTGATCATGGGTTGATTGCTAGATTCATGAGCCAGAATAAAAAGGTTGGGATTGAGATACCAAGAAATGCAGAAGACAGATCATTAACTAGAAGCTCAGTTGCTCAATCACTCACACTGGTGCTCCAAGATGAAACTGGTAAGATGTTTAAAGATGAAGCAGAGAAATTGGGTATCATTTTCGCTGACAAAAGTATGAACGGACAGTATGTTGATGAACTTTGTGCGTACCTTTGCAACCACAAGCTTACAATAAGGCAACAAAGTAATAATTTGGTTGGAAAATGATCAAATTTGATGTATAATTTGCTATTGCCTGGTCCAATAGCAGCAATAAAATTATCTAAATTGTATTCTAGGAATACAAATGGTGACTTGTTTGTTTATTTTACAGTGTATTCTGAAGTTCTTGTAATTCCTGTAAACTTTCCCAAACATATCTTATACTCCTATCAGTATGTATGCAGTATCCATATGAAAGGTATATGTCATTTGACATGATTGAGATGTCTTAGACACGTCATCATACAATACATGTCAAACATATACGGGATATATTATCTATATGAAGTGTCCGTGCAACCTAAATAACCATCTTTTTTTTTTAATCGGGGAAGGTACATGATGCAAATTGTATCTTATTACAAGAATAGACCAAAAGTGGCATATAATATAACCATCTAGATACAGAATATACCAAGTTGCTAATGTGACATATAATCATATATACATGATTTTTTTTTAAGTTAGTGTTAGGTTCCATTTCTTTACTGCTACAGAGAATTATGACAGCAAAAAGTCAATATGAAGTTGACAAGTATTCTGAATGCAACTACCCAACAGAAAATGAGACAAGACAACATCATAAAAATCAACTCTCTTAGAAAAAGACTGGCTAAATAATAATCCCATATTTCATGCGACGGACTATATAGTATATACTACCTGTATAATCATGCTCAAATGGAAATTGATATTGGTAGCACACTTTCTTACAACTTCTAAGATTCCAGAAATAGAAAACACAATCAACAAATTAAATATGGATACAATCAATTGAAAAATCAAACATTTGATACATACCCCCTGCGCGTCAAAGCCAGCTCACAGAAATAAAATAAAAATAAAAATTTATTATTCCATTAAATAAGTGCTTTGCAATACCCCTATTAATAATCTTCAAATCTTAGTTTTTCAAAAGTATTGTAACAAGTTTAAAAGAGAGAAGGGTGTTGAAAAGAAAATTTATTCAACCATCCATTTATACGTTCATATAGTGTATTGTATCATTTTGTTGAATGGGTCATGCAGACACTGCAAACGGGAAACCGAGCTCAGGGTTCCTGAGAGAGCGACAACAGACGCTGAAGACTGTCAATAACATAAAGATCACAGTCTTATGTGGGCTCATAACCATCCTTGTGCTTAGAGGCACTATTGGAGTTGGTGATCTCATTGGTTCCTCATCCGAAGCCAAAAAAGACCGAGCCCTCATTGAGGAGACTAATAGGATACTTGCTGAAATCCGTTCTGGGAAGGACTCGTCTGACCCTGACGGTCAAGAAGAGCCACCCTTCAACCCCAATGTGACCTACACATTGGGGCCAAAGATTGACACCTGGGATGTCCAGCGTAGGAATTGGCTTAAGCAAAACCCGGATTTTCCGCGTGTTGTAGGTGGGAAAGGCCGGATTTTGCTTGTGACAGGTTCACCTCCTAATCCATGTGATAACTCAATTGGGGATCACTATTTGTTAAAAGGGGTGAAGAATAAGATTGATTACTGTAGGTTGCATGGGATTGAGATTATGTATAACATGGCTCACTTAGACAGGGAGATGGCAGGGTACTGGGCGAAACTGCCGTTGATTAGGAAGCTGATGCTCTCTCACCCTGAGGTAGAGTGGATTTGGTGGTTGGATAGTGATGCACTTTTCACCGATATGGTGTTTGAGATTCCATTAGAAAAGTACAAAGATCATAACCTTGTGATCCATGGGTACCCTGATTTGTTATTCGAGCAGAAATCATGGATTGCACTCAACACCGGAAGCTTTCTCCTACGAAATTGTCAATGGTCTCTGGACTTGCTTGATGTTTGGGCACCTATGGGTCCTAAGGGCGTGGTAAGGGATGATGCCGGGAAGCTCCTAACTGCAAATTTGAAGGGAAGACCAGCTTTTGAGGCAGATGATCAATCTGCATTGATATACTTGTTGATTTTCCAAAAAGAGAAGTGGATGTCTAAGGTGTTTGTTGAGAATTCGTACTACTTGCATGGATTTTGGTTGGGTTTAGTGGACAAATATGAAGAAATGGCTGAGAAGCACCATCCTGGATTAGGGGATGAGAGATGGCCGTTTGTAACTCATTTTGTCGGGTGCAAGCCTTGTGGAAGTTATGGGGATTATCCAGCTGAAAAATGCTTGAAGAGTATGGAGAGGGCATTCAACTTCGCCGACAATCAAGTTCTTAAGCTCTATGGGTTCAGGCATAGGGGCTTATTGAGTCCTAACATCAAAAGATTGAGAAACGAAACAGACAACCCTCTCAATGTTGTGGATGAACATGATATCCGAAGACATATTGTCATTGGTTCATAAAGGAGTCATTGGTTCATGAAAGAGTTAGTATCACCACTTTTGGCTAATGAACACCAAATTTTGGCTGATGAACGTCGTTTCAATGGAATTTTTATATTGTAAGGTTTAGTTAAACAGGAAATTTTTGGTCTAATTACATAATTGTCCACAGTTTTATACGGAGTACTAATGATTCATGTATACTTACAATCAATATACGTCTATGACGAATTCGAAAATTATGCTGTGGATCTTGTTTAAATCGTCAAAATGTTGCCAAAGCAGCACTCTTTTTCATGTCTAGAAACAATGGCCCAAAATATCATTCAAATTGTAAAACTAATTTGTCAACTACTGGACTCCAATACGTGCAATTTCGTGCGTATAAAAATGCCAATTCAAACGTGGTTGTTTGATGTAAATTCTAAAATAAAGTGTGTTGATAAATAGTGACCTTCCTATACACAGCACGATTGCCAGCTTCAACTACCCGGCAAATTGCATCATTATTTTGGTCATTAATAATCACAATTTAGCTAAACTGTCAGCTACTGTAAAGAAACTTGTCTAATGCAAGTAGGGAAAATCTCCTGAGAAGATTAATCTGACTCAGCTGTAATGTTGATTCATGCAACTTTCCGAACATACGCAACAAAGGAAGATTGTTTTGGATAATGGGTATCAGTCAAGATAACAAAGGACAATGACATACTAACAAGTTCAAATCAGATTTCATTGCAAATGCAGGTAGCACTCGTTTGGCAACTATCAAGTATAAGGCACCCGATTTCTCTTCTTGGATGTAGGCAGATAATATTAGTAATGTGGTCGGTTAAATGATGTCAAAGAACTGCCAGATAATAGCCAAAAGTGGTAGCTCCATCAAAACTACAAGAAGTCTCTGACTCCAAAATCCATCAACATAAAAGAATTGAGCTAAAGATTGATTACAATGAAGAAACTACAAAAAATACTAATGTTATTGCCATTTACATGCATAGGCACATTAAGAACTTTATACGAAGTACTAAACAGTACAGTAAAACAAAACTTATATACAAGTACATATTAGCCTAATACTAGACCAACTTGTAGATTATGCGTAAGATATACAATAAATATAAATACATATAGCACAGTTGCACACCTGATTGATGGTTCCAATGAGCCAGCCACATTCCTAAACACAGCCATGCGTATGCGTATACTCTCAATCAGCTGGATTTTATAACAGGAATTTTGTACCGTGCTAGCAATACCTTATTCATAAGAGCAATCTGCTCTAAGAGCTGAATAATCTTCTGCATAAGAAATGCATAACACTTTTAATACAATTAAAAATCAATAAAAATAAATGACTGATAATCGTATCAAACGAGTGATCTATTCCACAAAAGAAATATGGCAATAGGAATACTGTAAACATAGATTAAAAACACACAGGCATGATAGCACAAACAAGGCAATCAACATAAAACAAAAAGATTCCATTCAAAAAAAAAAAAACATAAAACAAAAAGATTCAACGATAGCAGTAGAAAGTCGGGAAACAGTGGGAGTATAAGGGTCATAATCAAAAGAATAAACGATGTTATCTCTTATTCTCTTAATCAGTTGAGTTGTGGAACAAAATCAAATTTCAGATCCAAGGCATACCATGATGCACAAAGAATAGTAATTGACCGGTTTAACATTTGATGCATAGTTTGTGTCTTTCCTCCAAATTCCACACAAAAAGTTACTCAGTAAAAAACATCCATAATAACATTAAGAGGGCAATAATTTAATCATAAACCAAGAAAACAGAAGCATAGAAAACAAGGGTAAAACCCACTGTAAAGAGTTGTGGATACCAAAGACGACGTTTGCCCTGGATAACTCAGATTAACGGTGTGTTTGGATAAAGAAATGGGAAAGAAAAGAAAGGAAGAGAAGTGAAGGGGAGGGAAGAGAAAGGGAGGGGAGGGAAGAGAGATAAGTTTTCCTTCAAAATCTCTCCATTGTTGGAGAGATCAAATTTTTATAATTTAATCCCTCCATTTCTCTCCCCTCTAATTCCCTTCATTCTTCATTTGCTATCCAAATGAATAAAACTACATCCCTCATTTTCCCTTCTCTTCTTTTCTCTCCATTTCCTTCAATCCAAACAAAGTGTAAAAGTAAAAGACCATGCTTTTTGCAATTGTTTATTGGAACAAGTTAAGGTTCATAATGAAATAATTTACCTCTAACTAACACAGCAGTTTCTAGATTTATTTGCCAAAAACAATCGAGCTTATTAATTAGTTACAAACAAGAACAAGAAGCTAGAATAATAAATTTACTTTTAAGCTTAATTTACCAGCTATCACATATCAGATATTTCATATACACACTTTTTACTCTAAATACTGTTTCCAGGTCTATCCTTTCCTTACTCACACCCACTCCCTAAATTTATAGACATGGCCAAACAATGGACCTTGTTATTTTTACATTAAACACATAAAAGAAAACTAGAATGAAATTATACTTACAGGCTTAATTTACCAGGTTCACGTATCAAAGATTCAGTATACACACTTTTTTAGATAATTTTTGGTACCATATACCCAAACATCAAGACAACATCTACCAAAATGACTCAGTTAAGCAATAGAACACTGAGCTTATTGAAACATTTCAGTAAACTCTCTCTGCTCCATATTCCTTTTCAGGGTGTTCCATAATATGATTCACTCTCATATCCCAATAGTCTATTGCCATAGACTTATGAGTTTCAAACATCCACAATTTAAATGGAGGTTAGGTGCAAATAACAAAAGGAGGTAGATGATAATATATTAAATAGTGTTCCCTTTCCCCTTCCTTAATTCCATAGCTAATCCTTAATACATGGGAGTAACCAATTGTGTTGATTGTAAATGAACTTTATAAGCAAGGAAAATAGAAGAGATGGATTCTAAGCCTTTCGTAATCTTCATGAGGAAGTTTAGGTTGACCTATTTTCAAGGGGAACACATGTTGTCACACAAAGAGTGACCTGAGAACAAGTAACTGCATTGAAAATTCATCCTAACCCATTTGAGTTTTGAGATGAATTCAATTTGCCTTAAAGAATAAATTCTAGGCATAAACAGCCAAATCCACTTTACTTCATCAGCTTTTTTAAAAGGCGCACAAGAAATCTGGTGTAACTGGCCACTAGAGTCATGGAAACCACAGGAACAATTAACGCCATTAATTGGCTACATAATTTATTTTCAGCCTTTTAAAGAATGAACAATCCATGGCTGCCTCTAACATCAAAAGCGGTAAAGTAATAAACAGCCACCCTTCTTCATACATAGGCTGACTACAATATCGTATGTGTAGCATAATGCTACAACATAGCATGTTCAAAAGCGACCAACAGAGAAATCTCGTGATAACAAGTCCATTGTAGCAAACTAACAATATCTATTACCTAAAATAATAGTGTGACTAATGAACAATAACAACTAAGTCAGATTCCATTTATTCAGAAGTTAACCTTGTCAGTTGGAGTACTTAAGAAATAAGTAGATGGATTTGTATAGAGCTAATTCTGGAGCTAGGTTTTTTTATTTCACACCAGTATATTATCCAAAATCCTGAAAGTGCGACTTCATGTCAATTGCCTCCAAAAACAAAGACTTGTCTGGAATAAAGTCGTGAAGCATTAAATGGAAACTTATATAAAGTCGAACTCTGACCTTTCACTTCAGATTCTAGAGCTGAAGTTATGCAAAATATCATGTTTCACACATTACTAGCCATATATCTTCCCAGCATATTCAAGTAGAAGGGGCCTATTGTTATATATCTGGAAATTGGCAAGCAGCTTTGTATAAAATAATAAGGCCTTATAACTGAAGCTGATCAGCAATTTATTCTCACCCATTTTACACTGGGCATTTCCCCCCCTGCCTCCATAACATCAGCCGACCAAAGTGAAAATGTCAATTAAGATGCACTCAAATTCCACAAGATCACCTGCCAAAATGCAGGATCATGCACTCATGCATGACTTCCTTAATATTTTTTTTATAGAAACCGCATAAATTCTTAGACTAAAGCTTTGTAATATTCACCTTACTTCCCCTAATCTAAGCTTACCTTCCTTAATTTGAATTCACTTTTCCTATCTAAATCCATGGTCTTCTTATCCGTAATTTAAAAAAGCTTCTTATGGTCTTGTTATCCTTCATTTAAATTAACTTCTTATGCTCTTCTTAGACTTAGTTTGGCTGTGAATGAAACTTAAGTAGCCTTAATCTGAACTTGTAAGCCTTTGTCCTTCTCCCCCCTTAGGGCATGCTTGGATTGGAGGTGATGTATTACTAGGGTAATAAAGTCAAACTAAGCAAAATTAAAGTGAATATAGGGAAGGAGGAGATAATGATGTTGTGATTGTAAGGAAAATTATGTAGTGATGGTGTAGTATGAGGTGAAGAAAGAGGAACTAATACCCTCATTTTGGGAGTGATAGTTACACTAGGGGGAGGGTGGATAATTATTACCCTTATTATGAGAATAATAATTCCTCCATCTCTCTCTTTTCCTTATGGCACAACTACTTTTTTTCATTTGTAAACACCTTGTCTCCTACAACAACCTCTCTAACTACTTATAATTTTTCAAGTTTGACTTTTATTACCCCCTTAATATATACCCCCAATCTAAGCATGCCCTTAAAAGATAAATTTCAGGAAAAATACACTCAAATGGGGCCAATAAGTCCAAATAACTATGAAGTTCATTTAACAGCCAAAACTTGAGTTCATATAATTCAGATTAATTCTATATATCAGTCAGTGAATTCCAATGAGTTCTGACAAGGCACATTCAAGTAAAAAAGAATGAAGTTCAACTTATTTTTATTTATTTTAGAAAAATAAGTTCAGATCACATCAGAAAAAATAAGTTCAAAGTTCAGATCAGATCATCGTTTTATGTGCAATTTTTTATCACTAAATATCTTTAATTTCGTATTGAAAAAAATTGTGAAAATTACATATTAATAAAATACACATTATTACGAATCTAACAACATCCCCCATAATATATTTTTTCCTTGCAGATTATGGTACACTTAAAGTCAAAGTTTGGTCAAATAAGGCAATAAGATCTTAGATAAGATAAGATAAGATAAGACCATAATAGATAAGTTCAGATAAGCAAAAATAAGGTGAACTAAACAAGGCCTTAGTATGTCCTCTGTAATTCAAAATGCCAACACAAAACACTTTTAACCCCTATGTTTTCCCCCTCTTACATAGGGATTAGGGAATGGGATTGGGAATTAATTGTTGGGAATTCATGAAAATATACCAATATCTTGTTTGGATAGTGAGTTGGAATATATGGGGAATAAATAACAATTTTACAAATTTACCCTTACTAATATTTCCTTTCATTGTTTTCATTAATGGCAAAAATGTCAATTTTAAACTTATTCCCATTCCCATCTATTTATTACCTACCCTCCCTAGTTAATTCTCCCCTAAATATTCTCATTTCCAAACCTATTTTTATTCCCATTCCCATCAAACAAACAAAACTTTTTTTCTTGAATTGGGATTAAAACTCCCAATCCCACACTCAATTCCCAAATACCAAACACCCCCTTATTGTGTGAGAGAGAATGCAATTAAAGAATACCTATGAGTTCGAGTCAATAGTATCATACATGATGTTGTATCCACAAGTTCAGTTGACTCACAACAAGTAGAGTAGGAATAGTACATTGTCAAAGTTCAATCATTTTTTCAAAATTCCATCATACACACTTCAAGAAAAGCAGAGAAATTCCAAAAAAAAAAAAAAAAAAAAAGCACCACCCAATGTCATAAAAACATAGCATAATTGCTCCACAATTCACACAAAATTGACACAGGCATTTCAACAAACACATACCAAGCATTCCAAATTCAAACAAATCAATGAAAAAATCAAAAACCAAAACACCCACCTCATCTTTTTCCTTAATCAAAACCTTCAAATGCTCAACACTTTCCTTCCCACCATCCCTCCTTAACCGCTGCCGCCGCCGCCGAACCCAAAACCACAAAAAAACCAAAACCCAGACCGTAGAAGCCGCCGGAAAAACCAAGGAAAAAAACCCACGAGAGCAAACAATCGCAAGACAAGACCGAAGCTTAGAATTCCAAAGATGAAGAACAAAATCAACCCATTTATTAATCAACAAAGAATTCCTGGGTTTTGGCGGGGGAGGAGAAGAAGGGGAGGGAGAATCAGAGTCCGAAGTGAAATTGGAGAGAGTAAGCGGCGCGTGCGGCGGAGGCGGCGGCGGTGGTGGGATTGGAAGATCTTCGTGGTTGATCGGCGGGAAGACGGAGAGGTGCTGGTGGTGGTGATGGGTGGTGCGAAGAGGAAGTGGGTGGTGCGAGGAGGAACGGTTGTGGTTGTTGCGGTGGTTGTGGTTGTGGGTGGAAGGGAGTGATTCCCAGTCGTTGAATTTGAATCGGTTTGTGGCTTCTTCTTGGGAGTCATCCATGTTCTATAATTTGTGTTTTTCTCTCTCTCCTGTAATCACTATACAAGTGATAGTCAAACCACACAAATGGGTCATGATGATCCTAAATTGAAGTAGGGGGTTAGGGGTGAAGAGGTAAAGATTGATGGAGAAATGTTTGGTGGCGGGTTTGGTATGTGGTAATAAATTGGCGATAATTTTGTTAATGATGACTAAAAATACTTGACAACTATATTTAAATTGGTATTAAAGACTATCATGAAAATTTTAATGAACAAAAAGTATTTAGAAGCAATAAACATTATAATGAACCTTAACTAAAGTATTATGGATGGGTATACTTTTTAAAAGGTGAGGAAACATGTCCTAATAGACTATAATTTCTCACGAATCAACTCAACCTAAGCCTTTGAGATTAATGAAGAAAGAATATATTAGGGAAGATCTTGTTCACATAGTAGTATTTGAAGTTGTTACATTACAATCACAAGAGAAAGCTAACGTGGTGCAAGTTAATCAAACTTGGCTCTACCATAGATCTATTTAAGTAAGTGGTACTTGAGTTCAAACTCCACCAAGTCTCTAAGAAGTTGAGTTGAGCCCAACACAAATAAGCTTGGCTTGAAACTCTAAATCTAATATATTTGAATACACAAGTTAAATATAACAAGTAAATTATGAATTAAAAAACACTATAGATTTGATAAAATACTTGTAAAGTTATAAAATAATAGCTTAAATTAAATATATAGTGCTCTCTTAAAAATATATTTCGTAGTTAAATACATAGAGGTACATTTGACTTAAAATATACTCCATATGTGGTATTTTCCTAATTTTAGCTCATAAAATATGCTTCATACTACGTAATAAATTATCTTTGTATGACATTTATGCGAAATGTTTACTCCGTACTTGTTGATAATAATAAATTTCTTTTTTTGCCTATAAGAAAAAACGGATAAACTTCATTGAATAGTAGGTGTAATAATAGAAGCAGATCCCAACATATAAATTATATTACTATATTAGCATTAGCATTGATAGCGTATACGAAGTAAGAGTATAAGACAGATTATCCTCAACATAATAAGTACTAGCAAATAACTTCTTCAATGGAGCATAATGTGTATAATTAATAGTTTGACAAAGACAAGAAGTCATTTTCTGACTTACTGTACATTCGTAACAAAACAAGAATGTAGTATACTTCGTACAAAGAATAAATTTACAACTAGTACTATGAAACCATAAAGAATGAGATAATGTCATCTGACCAAAAAAAATTCCTCTGGCATCAACCATACCTTACAATAAATTACATACAAGTACAATGAATCATTGAAAATGAAGCCTATATATCAAATCCTGCAGTTACTAACTCTTTAATGAATCAATGACTTTGTGCCTTCGAATATCAAGTTCATCCACAAACTTAAGAGGATTATCACTTTCATTTCTAAATCTCTTAACGTTAGGATTCAACAAACTCCCATGCCTTAGCCCATATAGCTTAAGAACTTGATCATCGGCGAAATTAAATGCTCTCTCCATACTCTTGAAACATTTCTCAAACGGGTAATCTCGAAAACTATTACAAGGCTTACAACCCACAAAATGAGTCACAAAAGGCCACCTTTCATCCCCTAATCCAGGATGATATTTTTCCTCCAATTCTTCGTATGTGTCTACTAAACCCAACCAAAATCCATGCAAATAGTAAGAGTTTTCAATGTACACCTTCTCCATCCATTTCTCCTTTTGGTTAATCAACAAGTATATCAATGCGGATTGATCATCTGCCTCGAAAACAGGCCTTCCTTTTAAATTCGCGGCTAGGAGCTTCCCGGCCTCATCCCTCACCGTGCCCTTAGGACCCATAGGTGCCCAAGCATCTAGCAAGTCTAATGACCATTGACAATTTCGTAGGAGAAAACTTCCGGTGTTAAGTGAAATCCATGATTTCTCCTCTAACAAACTCGGGTACCCCTGAATTACAAGGTTATGATCTTTGTATTTTTCTAATGGAATTTCAAACACCATATCAGTGAAAAGTGCATCACTATCTAACCACCAAAACCACTCAACTTCTAGATGAGAAAGCATCAACTTTCTAATTAAGGGTAATTTTGACCAAAATCCTGTCATTTCTTCATCTAGGTAAACCATATTGTACACAATATCAATACCATGTAACCTACAATAGTCAATCTTGTTCTTGATCCCCTTTACCAAATAATGATCCCCAAATGGGGTTTCACAAGGGTCAGGGGATGAACCTGTCACAAGCAAAATTCGGGCTTTCCCATTAACAACGTTGGGAAAGTTCAGGTTTTGTTCAATCCATTTTTGGCGCTGGGAATCCCAATTGGTTATCTTTGGCCCCAATGTGTAAGTCACATTGGGGTTAGTAGATGGTTTGTATAAATTATTAGGGTCGGATGTATATGTCATGTTGGGGTTAATGGGTGACTTTTCTAGACTATTGGAGTCGGATCTATAAGTCACATTAGGGTCAAAGGGTGGCTCATCTATACTATTGAAGTCGTATGCATAGGTTACATTGGGGTTGACGGGTGTGTTATCTAGACTATTGGAATCAAGCGTGTAGGTCACACTGGGGTCAATAGGTGGCTTAATCAGACTATTAGGGTCGGATATATTCTTGTTCGATGGAAGTTCAACAAGTACCTGATTCGTCTCGTTATTGAGAGCTTGATTTCCAATTTCAGCTGAAGATCGATCGAGGCTTCCAATTCCAATAGTGCCCCTGAGCACAATGATGACAACAAAACTACATAATATGATGATCTTTATGCTATTTGAAGTGGTCACATAACCCATCTAACAATTGAAATAGTGAATCAAAAAATGAACGACTGAATAAATGAACGGAAACTATGAAAGATTGTCTCTTTAATTTGAAGTTTGAGAAGAAAGTAGATTAAAGTGGAGTGGGTGCCTAGTTTTTGCTCATTAATTTAGAACAAATATCGTACAACTTGTTCAATAAAATAAGTATTAACAAAGACTATTAAATGAAGTAAACACGAAATATCCTAACATAAGATTCGTGTTCAATAAAATAAACAAGAGGCCGAAAAAGATCTTGAACATATTGAAATTTGGGAGGGAAGTACCACATGCAAAAACATGTGGGGTGAACACTTCATCTAGGTAAGCCTGAAATTGTGAAAAAGTCAAGGTCCGGTACTTATTTTTAAATAATCAATAATGTTCTTACATTTTATATAGGAAAAATTTATTTCAAATAATCTAATGTTTAGCCCTTTAAATTTTTAATCCAACCTTTTTTTTAAGGGATATTAATTTAACTTTTTGATTATTCCTGAATAATCCAAGTTTTGGGGGGCCTTCAATTTTATTTGGCCAAACTGGTCACCAAGCTACAACATCAGGTTATCTAGCCAGGTGTCATTCTTTGATTCACCCATATAAAAAAAATAAAAAATAAAATAATTTTAATATAATATTTTTTTCCTTTCCCCTTCCCATCCACCTCCATTGAATCCGACGACTCCTTACCATACACCTCCATTGGACCAGCGCCACAACCCTTCCCCGACCTTTCTCGACCGCCCCTCCCTTCCCCTTCCCCTTACTTTTCCAATCACCCCCTTCGTCCCCCTTTCCGACCACCCCTCCCCTTCCCCCACACCCACCTAAAATCGACAACCGTGAAATCCCGAAACCTCAACCATCCTCGAAACCCCAAAACCACCACCAACCTCCATAACCCTGAAACCACCAACCTCGAAATCCCCCCTTCCCCTGAAATCCCCCACTGCTTCTGGGTTGACAAATTGGGTAGGTTATAGAGGGGTTTGGGGGTTCGTGGGTAGCTGGGTTTATTAGATTTATGAGTTTTAATAATATTATAAATATAGAAATTATTTGTGGACGGAGGGAGAATTATTGAGTTAATTATTGATTATGATCAATTTAACTTGACATTTGCTTGTCTGGTAATTAAACCTTTGTTAGGGTCTTACCTTATTTAAAAATTGTGCATCGAGATTACTTTTACTTTGACTTGACAAACCTGATTTGAGCTATTATTGTCACTTCTAATCCATACAATATCCAAAATTGGATAAACAAACCAGAAAATTCCTATATCGAAAATGATTATGGTTGAAACCAACTTACCATCTTTTACAAAACTATACGACAACATACTCAATAATATTTCCTTTGTTTTTTTAAAAAGCTATACTTGTTATTTTCATCCGTGTTTTTTTTAAAGCTACACTTACTCTTTTGGAAATCCAGTACAATTTAATACTTCCTCCGTTTCTTATTAGATGCATAACTTTCTATATATAGAAGTTTCAGTTAAAATGCATCACTTACCCTTTTAATCAAGAAATCTCTCTATCTCTATCATATCACATGAGCCCTCTTTATGTTTTCTCTCTATCTCTCTCTACTCCAAAAATTGCCAAGAGTCCACAATTTTAAAAATGATGCATCTACTAAAAAACGGAGCAAGTAATATATCTTAACCAACTAATGGTAGCCACTTTCTCCCAAAGCGTGGTTCCTGGAGGCGTATGCATCGTGCTTGGTGCATATGTTTCATTAAAAAAAGGCAGAATGAACTTACTATAGAAATGTAATGAACATATAGTTACAGTGAAAAGAATATACTATGAAAATGTAATGAACATATACCTAGAATGAAAAGAACATACTATTAAAATGTAATGAACATATGCCTATAATGAAAAGAACATACTGTTAAATAATGTTCTTTATCTCCATGTTCTTTGATTGTTAGTATAATGTACTTTTATTTGTTATACAATGTTCATTGTTTATTTTGAAATGTTCTTTGAATTATGTCTTTAGATTATGGTGGTTGAATAAAAATAATGTTCATTACATTTCATCATGTTCTTTATTAATATTACGGGTGTTCTTTAGATATATAAAAAGAGCATAAAGTTGGATGTTCTTTATAAAACAGATATGCGTTCTTTAGAAAACAACTATATATTCATTCCGCCTGTTTTTTTTTTTTTTTTTTTTAAAAAAAAAAAGAAAAATTAAAAATCCGTATGCACCAAGCATGGTGCATACGGTTTCTCCTACTTTATCATTTCTCACTCCTCTAATGGTCTTCACTTCCTTTCACACCACTAACTCTTCAATAAAAATAATAATCATACTATCTTTTCTTACTTGCTCCATTTTTCTATGCATGGAGTTTTAGGAGGAATAATTTAAAGTAATACAATATGATGGAAATGGGGTTAGTTGAAGAATAAAAAAATCTAAAAAAAAAAAGTGAGTGTAAGTGGGAAGGAGCGAGAGAGAATGTGATAAATATTAAATATGATGATGTGAGGGGACTAATAATTAGGGGGAAAATGTAAAATATTGTTAAAAGTTTTCAAAAAAGGAAATGGCGTAAGTAATAAAATACGACCGCAACAGGAAATCGGAGCATAAAATACGAAGGGAGTATAATTTTTATTATCTTGTCTACCCCACTAATATTTTTTTTTTTATTAAACCTCTTAAAACTCCGCGCAATCCCAATTCTAGCTTTAAAAAAAATATGAAAAGAGTAATTCAACTTGAAATGACTCAATCTAATCCTAATGCAATTAATTAATGAATACAATCCCAACCCATACAAGCTTATTTGTCACTTCTATTTCATTCAACTCTGCGAGTAAAATCAAGTTGATCTAACTCGTTACCTCAAACCAAAATCTAAACCCGAAACGATACCCCGACCGACTTATCCAATCACAAGATTCACAACCCATCCATGACCAGCTAAAACAAAATTTTAACAGACATACACCGGTAAAATCCGCAAACAAAAGTCGAAGAGAGAGAATGATCTAGGTTAAGGCGCAAAAACAAGTGGAGAAAAGAAAGATAGAGATAAAATAAAAAAGGAATGAAGATTGAAGAGAAAGATATGCCCGATTAGTCGATTACCCGAACTACGTAGTCCACGTAATCGAATATGGTCCGTGTGTATAACGTACGACTCCAAGATAAACACGATTCCTCTCTTCTTCTTTTCTTTTCCCCCCTCCTTCTTCTTCTTCTTCTTCTTCTACCTCTGCTCTTTCTCTCTCCTCTTCTTCTGCATTTCGCTGAGATTATGTAGCTGAGCAAAATTTTAGAGAGAGAAAAAGGAAGGAATTGAAGTGATGTCGAATACTGAGAATTCTCCGGTGATCGGAGGTTTTTCTGATGGAATTGATGATGTTGAAGAATTCGTCTGTGTTAGTGTTTAATTGATACTGTTTTTAAAATGTTTTTGATTGAGTAATTTGTTCAATTTTTTTAGTGTGTTTTTGATTTGTTGAAGTAGTTTTTGAAGTGATTTTGAATTTGGAGTGATTTTGTGTGGAATTTGTAGGTGAATGAGAAGGAATCGACGATGACGAACGAGAGAATTCATCAGGTTTTGGAGTTTGTCAAGACTGGAAATCAAGCTTTTCGTCGAGGGAGATTTGAGGAGGTGATTACTTGAATTTCTTTATTTACTTTTGTATAATTTTGAAATTGGATTGCTTCAAGAAAAAAAAAAAAAAAAATTTGAAATGGGATGAATTTGGTAATTGTAGTTTATATGTTGACGGAATTAGAAATTTTGTTTGGATGATATAATTGGATATTAGAGAAGTTGTTAATGAAGATGATTTAGCATGTTTAAAACTTGATCATTACATTAGAACTTCAATATTTATACAGTAATTGGATTTCTTTCTAGCTACTTCGTATGATTTAGGGCATTTTGTGGTGAAGTTATATCGAGTTTTTATTATTAAGGATTGGAACAATGTGAAATTAATTCGAACAAGAGTGTTTGCACAAGCACTTTTGTGGCTATTCATTCTGTAGTTCATGGTTAGTGCTTGGATATACGGTTTCTATTATCGCGATGTTTGTGGCAATAACATGTTCTTGTGTAGTGGTAAGTAAAAAGTCGTCAAACTGAAAATGTATAGTAACCCCTAAATAAATCAGGCTGTGGATAAGTTGACCATGAGCGCTGTTTAATCAGGTTCCGTGCAGTCTAATAGAGGAGTTTAGTCACTGCTGAATACTGTTGAGAAGTATTATACTGCTCCTAAGATATCACAAAATATAGCCTTTTAATGTGTTCTATCGACCATCCAATTTCCTGTCTAGACTGTGTAACACTGTAACAGTGAGTCTCACCTTGAATTATTTGTAATGCTTACCTTTTCATGTGATCTTCAAGTCATAACATCGTGCTGCAAGCAAGCTCTAATGCTCTATAATGCATTTTTAAAGCCTAGGGTTTCATACTAGTTATACTTTTACCCAAAGCAAAAAGATTTGGACCCTGAAACTTTAAGCTGCTTCCTGGCATTTTGATTTTAATTTCTGTAAGGGGTATTCAGTACTTGGTGCTTTGGTAGTGTGTGATAATTCTATGAGGCGAATATTTTTAAATACCTCGTATATGATGGGCCATACTCAATACTATATACACCAAGCCGTGTGCTGCACATGTGGAGCCAGGGTTATAGGTTTGGATTTCATGCATTTGTAACAACATATGATAACTGGTGCAATCCTTCTGACTGGTGATACTCGTTCTAGACATCTGAAGATGTTTATGCAATTTAATAATTGCTTTCTGAAACTGATGTTTTAAAGCAAAAACTATTTTGGGTAAGTTACGGTAAAATTAGGATTTCGCAAGCTTTTGGTAATTAGAATTTGGTGTCTATACTTCATATAGTGCTCTGTTTGGGGAGTTACCATTCTAATCAATTTAATCTTAGTTTTAAAAATGGAAACTTTTAAATACTTTTAGATGAAAGTAAGATATTATATTATTTTTCAATAATTTTTTCATTTTGGGACCCTTTTGTTTGGACTACTTTTTAATTATACATCGCTGCAGGCAATTGATTGTTATTCAAAAGCCATTCTTGTCAAACCGGGTGATCCTATTATTCTGAGCAATAGATGTGCTGCTTATATAAGGTAATCTGCTTGGAAGCTGACATCTGGCTAAGTTATATTTCACCTTCCTTATTGAAGATTCAATGATACATGATGTTCCAATTTTGTGCTCCCCTATGGAATCTTATCAGGTTAAGCCAATTTCTAAAAAGTCGAGCACCTTCTGCATCTGAATATAATCCATTGTATGGGCTGGATCCTACAACACATGCTGAAGTATGATACATTGATCTTTCTTTCTGTATACTTAATCATATGTGTTGCTTCTTAAGAAACTTTCCTGCATTTTCAGGGTACACATAGAACTAGGATACTAACATCAAAGTTTAAAAATCTGTTCTTTGTCTGTTTGGAATGAATTTACCTATCCATTTCCTTTCATCATTTGTACATGGTCTGTAGCCTAGTTCATGAACTACATATTTTAGCTTTCATTTACAATCTCTATGTGGAGGAAGAATGGAAGATATTCTGAGTTTGGAGGATGAGAAAGAGTGAGAGGGGTGGAGAGAGATGGGTAGAGAGGGATCTTTCGGCATGGCTCGCTGTTTATTTGGGCTAATTTGTTGCACTAAAGTAGTTCTTTTTTTGGAACCTATAGGGCCTGTATACTGTGGTAAAACAAGTATAAATCTTTTCATTTGTTGTGAATAGTACTAGAAAATAAGGGGTTGGTTAGTTGGAAACTTGGAAAGTATTTTGTTATTTATTAATCTTAATGAAGGAATATAATATAAGAATCACATAAATTAAAACATCAAAATCAGACTTGTAGAATTATGCCATGGCTCATTGGGTCGAAATTTCTTGATCATAGCAACTGCAAAGACATTTTTTTTCTTTGGTCTAAGCCTTGGGGATTACATGCTATGATACATAGATGAGAGTGAGGGAAAGAGGGGGGGGTGGGGGTTTGTAGGCCAACTTCATCAGTTTTCCCAAAACACGGATGTTTGAGAATGGAGGAACCTTCAGTGTGAAGATATTTGCTACTTATAGTTTCAGGCTACTGGTATTTGTAAATGTGCCATAAGGTAATATGTTTGATTACCTCAACACAGCTGGCCTTGAAAGATGCTAAAAAAGTCATGAGCTGCAGAAACAATTCTGTCAAGTCGTTCATCCTGCAAGCCGATGCTCTATTTTTGGTAAGGATCAGAGTTATATTTACACCTGCATTGTTTTTTGGTACATGTATTCCATCCCCTTATTATATGCTACATATGTTATTGCATCAATGAGGAAGGTGCCCTTTTCTGGTTGATATCCATTGGAAGTATATCTGTGTTGGTTGTAACATGTGTTGAATTATTTTTAAAATTTTGCAACTAAGTGAAAAAATACATCTATTGTCTTTTTACTTATTTCATTTAGTTTTCTCATTATTTTGCTCATTTTTCTAGCTTTGTAATAAGCATATTTCCAAGTTTGTAGCTGTAAAAATTGCTTATATTACAGACATTACATATGTACATGCTTTTTTGGTTTATTAATGGGTGAGAAAGTTGTATAAGAGCGTTTCTTCTGTATCTCATCTTGATCTTCGTGTAATGGGCAGTTAGAAAGATATGATTCGGCACGTGATGCTGTTATCGCTGGCTTGCAGCTGGATCCACTTTGGTAAGAATTACTTCTTTATTATGTATTGTTGTTGAATTGCTTATGTATTTGAGTTTTATTTTCACATTAATCTCCTTTTTGTGTTTGATAGTACTCATTTACAGGCTCTACTTTTGATATTGGAGAGAACTTGTACTGGCTTAGTTCGCGGAAGAAGTTGTGAGAAACCAGAACGTAGTGATGAATTTGATTGTACCCTTTGCTTGAAGTTACTTTATGAGCCCATCACAACTCCATGTGGTCATTCATTTTGCCGCTCCTGTCTATTTCAGTCAATGGACCGAAGTGAGATTACTTTCTTGTAATGGTCTATTCCATATTTTAAACTACATATATATTCATATATCTCATGCCCTCAGTTCTTTTTCTGTATAAAATTGCAGGTAATAAATGTCCCCTTTGTCGAACTGTTCTCTTTATCACTCCAAGGACGTGTGCAGTAAGGTCTGTTCTCCTGAGTTCATTTATCTGATATTTTATTTGTATAATTTTGAATTTTTATTATAATAGGGGGTAACCATCTTATGTTTATGCTTTAGACAAACAGATTTGGAATTTTCTGGGGATTTTAAATATGTTATGGCTGTTTTCTGTGATAAATATGTTGACTACAAAGTGTGGATAGAAGGACTTCATGATTAATTTCAATAGTTTGAGAACTTAACTTTAAAGTGCCTGATATATCATGGAGACGATGCCTTTTAGCCTTTTAGGAGGCACTTTTGCTCTTAATATAATACTTGTACTCGTAATTTAAAGTTTGAACAACTTTATACAGAAATTTTTTCTTTCTCTTAATATCTGGTATTTATTTTCTTTCTCTTTTTCCAGTGTAACTTTGAACAACATTATACAGAAAAATTTTCCGGAGGAATATGCGGAGAGGAAATCAGAGAATGACAGTCTGGTAAAACTTGGCGTTGATTTGATGCCACTTTTTGTGATGGATGCTGTGCTCCCTTGTGAGAAGTTGCCTCTCAATATATTTGAACCTCGCTACAGGCTTATGGTGAGTTTTGTGGCAGTAGAAATTATGTTCTATTAGGAGTTTGTCGTTGCTGGAACTCATATGCTACATGCTTATGGCTTATTGTGTGCTCTCTTCTTCTGTTTCTTTGATGTTACTCATATGCTGCTTTTTCTTGATATTCTTTGATGCTCTACATGTTTGTTTCTTCATGCCTTGCTTTGTTTGATGAGCCTGATCTATTTTCTACTTTCATTTATCTATTGCTAAAGAAAAAGAAAAAAAAAAATATAGGTGCTGCAATAGTCCAGTTTATTGACCCTAAATCAGCTAAGTGGTATATATAGCAAGTTTCAAGGCAATTAGGTGTCATAAACTGACCCAACCCGAAAAACCAACCGAAACTGGCAATGACCAGAACCTGACCTGTACCCAAACAATGGATGATACGAGTGACTTGTAACCCGACCTAAACCCAACCGATATTAACGGACAACTAATTGATGCAATGCTCTATGACCTGAACCCAAATGTGCACCCAATCTGATATTAACCGGTAACCGATTTAACCCGGCCTGACAATGTGAGTTTGGCATGAATGTGATTTTCTAACTCGGCCAATATCTTTGCTTGGCTTCATGTAGCAAGTATTTGAAATTATGAAGTATCTGGAACTGTGTCTAGTTCCTTTTGATGCATGGAACAGATTTTTATTATTCACTCTGGATCTAGATGCAGTTAAAACTTTATTGTTTGTCCTATTTTGTTCTTTCTTGGGAATTTCTGAAAGATAGATTACTGTTCTGAACTGGATTATGACAATGTCATTTGATATAGAGTAGACTATATTAGTTGCAAGTGCAGTATATCTGTTAAATCAAATATAAACAAATAGCAACTGACAATAGGTATTTTTAGTCTTATTACAGATTATGGTGGTTTTATTCTCTTGTTGCTTGAACAACAGGTTAGGAGGATAATGGAAGGAAATCATCGGATGGGCATGGTAGAATTTTGCAACCTGTCGCTTGTGTTTACCTCCCTTAATCAGGATTCTCGTAGTCTATGGGCTTACACTTTCTATAACTGATGTAGGTAACACTTGACTCCACAACCGGTCACATAGCTGACTTTGCTTGTGAGGTGGAGATAACAGAGTATGTGTCAGCAATAGCCCTCTGCCTTTTCTGCTACTTCTGTTTGGTATAATGGTCTAATTTAAACTTTCCTCCCTCTTTCTACGTGTATTCATGCAGATGTGAGCCACTTCCAGATGGCCGCTTCTATATAGAGGTAAGAAAATCTATTTTCTTCTTGAATTTCTGCGTTGACTGTTGTATTAGATTTGCTTTTGTGTTGAACCCATTTTCATTTCACCTGAAGATACCATTTTCAGGATAGAAGGTGCACCATCGTCAGTATTTGAATCTTCAGTATTGTGATGAACCAGTTTACAGTTTATGATGATGCATTATATATTGAATGGTTCTTTTTATATGCTTAAAAGTATGCAAGGGACATAATATTATTATTTTAGCCTCAATATAATCTTGTCAAACTATATGAATATGAAAAATATATAGCTATATTAGATGGGTATTCTTATATTATACTTATATGATATCCTGTGATTTGGTGTAATTTCACAAAGCTTAACTGAGCCGATTATTTTTTTGGAACAAAAAACCAACCCGAGTTTATTGTGTGGGGTTTCGGACTAGTAGGGTGCAACACCTAACATATCCCCCCCCTCTCCCACAATTAAAAAGGAATAAAAAAAAAGGCGAATTTTTTAATTTTTTTTATACTTATTAGATAACAATATACATAGAATGTTGCTAAAGTTTTTCTTCAGGCTCGGTACCCCCCCCCCCCCCCACCCCCTCTGTATCATCCATGCTATGACCTCTAATTCCTCTTGATTGTTTTGTTTTTTTTTTCCTGTTTCCAAGTTCTCTTCCAGCTCTCTCTCTCTCTCTCTTTTTTTTTTTTTTTTTTTTTTTTTTTTTTTTTTTTTTTGTGGTTCCTTTTTTCTGTTTGATTTTATGAGATATTGTTCAGCAGATAGTTCATCATATATAGCTTCTTTATTCACAGGTTGAAGGACGGCGAAGATTTCGCATCCTTCGATCCTGGGATCAAGATGGGTAAGTTGTCTGTGTCTTTTCTACTGCTAGCTCCAGGTCTCTTTAGAGCTTATCTTGTAATGTTATTGCTTTGTTTTCCTCAGTTACCGTGTTGCAGAAGTAGAATGGATACAGGATATAAATCCACCAGAAGGATCAAGAGAGAGATCAGATGTAAGATTAAGACTTCCTTCAAATATAGCAACATATGTTGTGATGCTCAGCACTCTAAGGCAACTAGTCAGTTGATTAGTGTTTAATGTCCCTGATTATTCTGTATTTTCTTTGTGAAAGGTCAGAGTGAACCTTGAACTGTGCCTAATTAGTTGGGGCAATTTGAAAATCTTTACTTCCTTAAGCCCAATGGACAAGGTAGACCAATGCGTATAAAGTTATAGTCAAGCTAATAGGGCTTTTATTAATGGTCTCTAATGGACAGGGTTGGACATGGTCAACATAGGGCCAAGTTAATAGCCCAATATTTTTGTAAAAGAAAATTGATATGATAAAATAAATTATTTGTATAGCTTAGTATTCACATTTGCATACTTTTGCTTCTGCTTTCTCATTTTTGCTTGTTCATCTACTGGCCTGCAGCCTGCTCTCTATTGATCAATAACCCTCTTTGGCCCATTACAAGATGACCCCTTTATGACTCAACCCATAATTGACCTGACCTACTCAATAACTAGTTCTGTCATTAGGCATGCTTGATTCCCAAATTGAAGCGAAAGGTTCTAGCCCATCTCATTACCAGTTAAACTTTAGGGGTCTGGATTAGAGCTTCATGTTACCTTCTGTAGGTTGGGACTTGGGGAATTTGTGGTACTGATACATAATTGTGTAGCTATCTTCTGCATCAACCAAGTGTTGGTCTTGATTTATTTGATTCGTGGGCATTAACAGCTGCAGGAACTGACAAGTAATGCTGCAGAATATGCTCAAATGTGGATGATGAGGGCAAAAGAGGCAGCAAGACAAGGTAATCACAAAATGAGTTTCTTCAAGGGGCAATATGGATTTTTTTTTCATGCTTTAGTCTGTTCGTATATTACAACTTGTAATGGCTGCTGGGTTTTTGTGGCTATTGGCTTAGCTTTTGGTAAGTGGCTTTTCCATTGGCTGAGAGGTTGGTTGAAAAAGTTGTTTGGGGCAGCTGCTTTTTCTCTTTGGCTATTGGCTTTTTTCATAAATTAGAATAGCTGTGGATTCATTCTTTTCACTTGAAATAATCCGAACTTATTGCCTTATTGGAAGTTTTAGAACTAGTTGATAAGAATTTGTCAGAAGTTATTGGAACTTATCAGAGCTTATATTAGTTGTAAATTGATTTTGGGTAGCTTCTATTTGATTGGAGTCATATTTTCTTATAAAGAAAACGAGCCTATTTTTCCCAAAATCTAGCCATTGTACTAAGAGCTACCATCTAGCAGTTAGTTCTACTAGAAAACCAATACAAAGAGCTAATTTTACCATTTGGTCAAACAAACCTAGTATATCTGCTAAAGCAAACCGCAGATTGCCAAATATGGTCCTCATCGGTTATATATGATAATCTGTGTGCTCTAGTTCTGACATGGATTTTTTTTTCCTTCCAAGACATGGGAGTCCATATTGTGAAGCATTGCTTTGGTTTTCTGAGTGCCTCCTCTTCTATGATTTTTAGATAGAAGACGGCTTGCAGAACTCCTTAATGTGGAAGCAATGATGCCCACAAAGGAAGATCCTGAGCGCTTCAGCTTCTGGGTATCCTCATCTTTCCCTCTCTTCCTACCTTATTTTCACTCATCTCAAGTTAATTTATTGTGCTTGTACTTGCAGCTAACCACGCTAACAAGAAGAAGATCATCGGAGAGACTAGAACTTCTGCGGTTGAAAGACACGAAGGAGGTATTAGCAAATTCTGTTATTCCTTCGAAGCTAGAGATTCAAGGGCTTTCTTACTCTAGAATATTAGGCTGACCCTAACTTTCTGGATGTGCCTTCTTTTGAATGCAGAGAATAAGTTGCGGGTTGATATATCTTAGACAAGAAGAGCAAGTTTGTCGATTACAATAGTAAAAGTTGTAATCGAGTACTGTAATTTATCCATTTTGAAAGAAAATTTCAATATTATTTAAAGGCTGCTCAAGTGTCCAGCATTTTTTGATCCACATGATGCCGTGGATCCTCAAAGTCTCAGACTGAGTTTTGTTGTAATATAGAATATAACAAGATTATTTGTTACGAAGTATAATCTATACTTTTCTTCCTTTACTGTAATGTTACCTTTCTTTTAAGTTTCCTTTAAAGTTTTAGATTTTAATGGGGTTGGTGTTTGTCTAAGACGCCTTAACTCTCGGCCATCTTAGCCAATTTCGTGGGACATTGCCGCAGTGTTAAATGCTGCTTTGGCATATACCACTTTGGCTGGAAAGCTCCTTCATCTTGACTGTTCATATGAGAACTAGACTCTTCAATCTCTAAAGAAGTTATAACTCGAGTATGGCTGAGATTGAGTACGAAGTTTATTTTATTTTATTTTATTAAAATGTCGGAAATTCCATTCTTTGAATCTGTTATGGTGCCTAAATGATTGATATTGAATATTTTCACCTGAAACCCATCAGATGTATAAATTCAACTGATGTAGCAAGACACTTGAGTATATATTAATATTTTTGTAATTAATTATTAATTGAAGTTCAAAGAACCATTGAATTGTAGTAATTTTAGTTTATGAAAATCGAAGCAAAAATAGTCACAAAACTCCTGAAAACGCGGTTTAATCCATCATCCTCTCATGTGGGGCAACAATTGAATAGAGTATCAGAATTCACAAGAATGGGTGTTACATTAATGCAATTATCCACGAAGTATATTTATTGCTCTTATCTTACTACCAGGCTACTACTAGCTTGCCTACAAATACTTGGTCCCCCAACACCATATATTAACAAAAAATAAATTAAAATAATGTTACAAATAAATAAATATGTCTTTCAAAAAAAAAATTAATAAAAATAAATATGATGATTTGTTCAATAGAAGTTCAAAAAATTTAGACTTTTCACACACCAAAAAAAAAAAAAAAAAAAAAAGTGAAAAAAAAATATATAAATAATTCTCATGGAAGTGGGATGCAACTAACAAGAAGTTGACATTTAATGAAGCTTGATTGATATTCACATCATCATTTTGTGTCAATGGTTCATACAAAATAATTCGTGGCAAGTCAAATGAACATTAGATAAACAAAAAAAAAAGTTAGGATTGATTACAAGATTATCTATTGTCCAAAATAATGGTAATATATGGAAAAACTTTAATTTGTCATCTAATAATTGGTAAAGTTGCAATTGATGGGGAAGATTAGTTGAAAGAGGAATTAATATATGTTTACAAAATGACAATGTAGCCGTTAGAAATCGATAGGCAATAACTTCAACAATATATGAATTAAATATACTTTTTATTTTCTAAAACTAATGGATGATGACCCCTTTAATAAGGGTAACATTAAAAGTGCATTAGCATCTAGTAAGAATATACGGAGTATTAATTTGGATGATATTTAAATTTCAAGATCAATTCTGACATAACTAATTATATTACGTGTAAGAATCAAGAGATACTCCGATCCAATGATTTACAATGTTGCCTCTCAAATAAATTTTTTTGGCCGTTTTCCTTTACTATCATAATAAAACCAATCATATTAGATACATAGCAAATCATAATTCATAAATGACACGGTGTGTTTATAGTCCTACAAAACTTTCCCTTACATTCGGAAGTACTAGCAAAGATGATAGCTTACGCGGTTTAAGACTTTCATATGTTAGTTGGTGTAGTTAAAAATGTGTACATATAGCCAGCTAACTAAGCCTGCCAAAGGGTCCCACAATACAAATATTTGCCCCCTGTTCGTTTACTAGGTCTTATAATATGTCCCATTAAACATTAAAAAATGTATACAAACTAACATCAAAACACTAACATTCATCAATTTCATAGTAAATTGTAGCACGTTCTTCAAGTCCTTTTCTTTATTCTTCACTTAGTGCCTTCCCACAACTTCTATTATTCTTTCCATCTTCCTTACTATACACCCCTCAATTATCCAACCCAACATAAAACATATCAAAAAAATTTCCTTATAATTTTTGGTTTTTTAGTTCCTTAGATTTCTCCATGAGTACCACCACGGCCACGACCAGGACCACGATTACCGCCATGTGACATCTTAAATGTGCTAGTATACCATACCTTGTACTGTTTATCTCATCAATCTAACACCATGATATCTTCATTATTCGTCGTCATTTTCTCTTTCATCCTCCTCATTAGTTCTACACCCACCACCATTTACGCGCAAGCCCCTCTTGAAGCGCCTTCTCCTTCATCAGATGACACGTCTCCTGCTCCTAAAACACCAAAATACGCCTCTAGGGATAAAGTCCTAATCGCCTGCGGGGCACAAGAGGACGTCGATCTCCCCGATGGACGGACGTTCAAGTCGGATCCATCGACGGTTAGCAATCTAAGTAGCGACGAGGATGTTAAAGTTAACGTCGATACACTCCCATCACCACTTAAAGACGGCGTTCCTTCGTCTAAACTACCACCACCTCCGCCTCTACCTCTTTACAAATCCGCGAGGATTTTCCCTAGTGCATCCTCCTACAAATTCCCTATTTCTCAACAAGGCTTTCATCTCATCCGTCTTTACTTCTTCCCTCTCCCTCACCCTTCCTACAACCTCTCTAACGCCGTTTTTCGAGTCACAACCGAAAACTTCGTACTCCTACATGACTTCACTGTCCATTACCCTTCCCCCGTCTTCAAAGAATACATCCTCAACCTTACTTCCGATACACTCACCCTAAAATTCTCCCCTAAGAAAAACTCCTTCGCCTTCATCAATGCCATCGAGGTCATCTCCGTCCCTGACGACCTCATCTCGGACACCGCCTCCCCGATCCCACCTGTTGGGAACGTCGAGGGAGTGGCCAAACACGCCTTCGAAGTGGCCCTCCGACTAAACGTCGGTGGGCCACTCATGTCACCAAAAAATGACACACTATGGAGGACTTGGCATCCAGATGAAAAGTTCAACACATTTCCTCAAGGATCTAAGGATGCAAAGATTGACCCAAGTAAGGTTAAGTACCCGGAAGGCGGTGCCACGATGTACATTGCGCCGCCTTGGGTGTACGCAACGGCAGCTGAGATGGCGAATGCGGATACTATCGAGGCCAACTTCAACCTAACATGGAAGATGCCGGTAGATTCGTCATATGACTACCTTGTTAGACTACATTTTTGTGACATTGTGAGTATTGCATTGGATGATTTGTACTTCAATGTGTATGTCAATGGAATGATGGGTGTTGCTAATCTCGATTTGTCTACCCAAACTATGGCTCTATCAACCGCCTATTACAGGTAATTATTTATATTTGTACCATCATATAAGTATATAGTGCACATTTTTACATAACTAATAGTGTACTACTATATATTTAATCATTAAAGTACGTACATTATCAGTTAATATTAAATCTACGTCATTCATTGAGCAAGTCAATTAATATTAAATCTACCTCATTCATTAAGTTGACTTGCTCGTGTTTTATTTTAAATTACCATGTATAAATTTAGTTATCCATTCCTATTACTCGCTCTCTCTCAATTTCCTAACATGGAATAAATGGATAATAAAATTTGCTCCGACCCTAGGTCAGGGTCTAGATTTAGAAGTATTGAAATGGCTACGTTTTTTTATTTATTATTATTATTTTTATTTATTTTATTTATTTATTTTTTTTTTATTTTTTTGGTTGTTCTTGTTGCCAATTTTGGACATAGGCTCCCTACATACTAAAAAATTAACTGGTTGTAATTCTTTTCAAACACAAAGTGCTAGACTGCTAGTATGAGTGGTATCATTTATAGCAATATTTTGAAATTAAGACCAAAAAAATCCAATATAGGATACTTCTTCATAATACTACGTGCAATATCTTTTGGCTACCTGGAATATATAGTAATTTTGTTGTATATAGTCAGCTTTGGAATATTTTTAAATCAACACTGACCAACCGACTAACCTCGTGCACATCATGTGGTCAGCCACATATGAAATTTTTTGTTAAATCAATAGTTTTACTTTAACATGCTTTGAGTTATCACAATTTGTTATGATTTTTATTGTAAATTAAGAAGTGATTTTTTTTTAGGGAAAATTAAGAGGTGATTGGTAAGGGATAAATTTTATAAAGGGTAATTGGATTATTCTTACGGGATAAATATTTTATAAAATGAGTAATTGTATCAAAAAAAAAAAAAATTACGTAACTTTTTTTTGTATTGGTGTAACTTAATTGACATTTGATGTACAATAATCTACCACCTTATTTTTTAAAAGTTTGTGCGCGCAATATGTATCGGAGCTTATTTACTTTCATTAATTTTCTTTTATGTAGGAAAATGTATTACAATGACAAAATTATGTATTGAAATGTTGACAGGGATTTTGTGATCAACTCCACAACAATTGCAAACGGATTGATTGTGATCCAGGTGGGTTCAGGCTCGGACGGGTCAGGCGATCCCAACGCAATCCTCAACGGGGTGGAGGTGATCAAGATGAGCAACTCCGCGGGCAGCCTAAGTGGGTTGTTCGATGTGGAGGGAAACTACATGGGGGCAGCCTCGGGTTCGAAAACAATGAAGGTGTTAGCCGTGGTAGGACTAGTAATGGGAATAGTGGCCTTACTACTAGTTGTAGTCATGTTTGTAAGGTGGCATAAACGGCCCCTAAATTGCCAAAGGAATAATAGTTTCTCTTCTTGGCTTCTTCCTTTAACCACTAGTCATAGTAGCTTCCTCTCTAGCAAAACTACTTCGATCACAACCTCGAGGAAAAGCTCGATGTTTGGGTCTCGAAAGAGTGGTATGTTTGCCTCAACCAACCAAGGGGTGGGTAAATTCTTTAGCTTTAATGAGTTACAAGATGCTTGTAACAATTTCGACGAGAATGCAGTGATTGGAGTTGGTGGATTCGGAAAAGTGTACAAGGGTCAGTTAGACGATGGTACGAAAGTGGCCATCAAGAGAGGTAATCCGCAATCAGAACAAGGTATCAATGAGTTTCAAACCGAGATTCAGATGCTCTCACAGCTTAGACACAGGCATCTTGTGTCCCTTATTGGGTATTGTGATGAGAATTCGGAGATGTGTCTTGTGTACGAGTTCATGTCGAATGGTGTGCTTCGAGAGCACCTCTATGGG